AACATAACTTTTACCATATGATCTAGTAATCATGTTTCTTGGCATTTACCCAAAAGAGTTGAAACTTATGTTCACACAAAAACTTGCACATAAATGTGTATAGACGCTTTATGCATAATTGCAAAACTTGGAAGTGAGATGTTCTTCAGTAGGTGAATGGATAAATAAACTGTAGTACATCCAGATAATGGAATATTATTAAGAGCTAAACAGAAATGAACTATCAAGCCATAGAAAGATATGGGAGAACTATAAATGCATACTAGTAAATGAAGGAAGCCAATATGGAAAGCCTACTCACATCATATGATACCAACCATATGACCTTCTAGAAAATGTTAAACTAGGGAGACAATACAAAGATAAAAAGTGGTTGCCAGGGGTGGGGATGGTGGTGGGTAAAGGAATCAACCGGCAGAGCAGAGAGGATATATAGGGCAGGGAAAATACTCTGTATGATGTTATAATGATGGATATATGTCATTATACATTTCTTCAGACGCATAGTGTGTACAACACCAAGAGTGAACCCTAATGTAAACTATGGACTTTGAATGATAATGATGTGTGTCAATGGAGGTTTGTCAACTATAACAAACGTACCGTCTTGTGGGCAATGTTGATATCAGGGAGGCTATGCATGTGTGGGGTCAGGGAGTCTATGGGAACTCTTTTTACTTTCCCTTCAATTTTGCTGTGAACCTAAAACTGCTCTTAAAACAAGTCTTAAAAATGTGAGGTATGTGGGACAAAAGTTGCCATCTTCATTTTATACACAGAGAAATTAGAGGTCAGAGAGTTACAGAAAATTGTTACTTGACACAACCTTGCAGATAATAAATGGAGTGAGGTTGAAAGGCATTTCAGACAAAGGGAATACTGGGAGGACGGACAGTTGCATAAAGGTACAGGGCTTATTTAGGGAATGATGAGTTATCATGTTTCAAATAATGAAACAGATTGGTGAATTTCAACTTTTGAAAATTGGTAACAAAATGGTTTGGAAGAGCTCCTCATGTACTTCATCCAGCAGTTTAGGTTTTGAGCCTGAATGATAAAAGATATGAAGAGTTAGTGAACCAAGGTAGCATATGCGGAGCAGAAACAATCCTGAATTTGCTGTTTGTGAACTGAACTCTATGAGAAATAGAGTTAACTGCTGAAATCACTAACATGAGTGTATCTTTTTATTTTTTCTTTTCATTCATCACCTCCCCAAATAATTAATAACCAAATCAAGTAAATGGCTTATTTTTAATAGTATTTGAGTCAGTGTTCTCACCTACATACAGAGTGAACAACTTTCTTGAAACAGACTCTTATCGTTGTTCATCTTGAATATTTCAATATGCTTCTTACATTACTCTTGCTTTCATTATCATTTTTTCCATCTTCTTCACCACCGCTGCTAGATCTTTCTAAAATACAAATATGAGCCTGTCATTTCAGCACTCAAATGTTTTTGTTGGCTCTCCCTGACTTGCAGGATTAAATGTTAACTTTCAAGTAGAAATGTTGTAGCATGGTTACAAAGATCTTAAATGATTAGGCTTTACTTTGTTGCCAACTTTTTCGCTTGCCTCTTCCTCATATCCATGTTGCAACAAACCAAACAACCCACATTTCTCTCAACATGTCACACTCTTTATGCTGCTTTTTAAATTTGATTTTGGATTAATTATCTCTTGTCTAAAATATGTGCTTTCCCTTATTTCTTTTATCTAAACACTTCAACCAGTAAGATCCAAAACTCTGGAGTAATTTTAACTCTATCCTCTCCCTCATATTTCATTAAAAAAGCAGTCATTAAATCACATCTTTTCTAATGCCTTTATAAATCCCTTGAATTAATTGTTTCATTTTCATTCTCACTAGCACACGTTTATCTTGGTTCCATAATATATTATCCTAACTGGTCTAACAGGACCACCCACTCCACACAAATCTAACCATGGTAGTCCTCTATATAAAGTTCAGCAGTGTTTCCCTGGACTTTAAGCTCCTTGCATGACATACAAAGGCCTCCTACTCCAAGCCTTCCTGCTTTTTCCTGCTGATCTCCTACACTCCTCCTCATGGATGTGGCAATCTGGCCATTCCAAATTTGCATATTTTAGTCTCTGCAGCTCTTGCTCCTTGTGCTTGAAATGCCTACTCTCACTGCTTTCTCCTATTCACTACTCACAAATTTAACATCTTCCCACCTATATCTTCATATAGTATAAAATCAATAGTGAATCAGAAATGTATGTATAGCTATGTGTATGCATGCTATATTGAGAGTTATTTGCGAATTTTTATAGTGAGCGGTATGTTTATCATACAAAGGAAGACTAAATTTGTATTTTTAATGAATAAACCTACATTGAAATTCAGCAAATTTTGAGAATAATATTCATTGCCAGAGCAATGACCAAGAATCCTTATAAAAATATAAAAAATATTAAGCAAAGAGTGGAAAAAATAATCTGAACTCAAAACTTCAGAGTATCAAACTCTTTAATTATGCAACTCTTTTTCAGCAGGTATGGGGGGGTTGGTACTAAGTATCATAATTTTGTCTAAGTATCTTCTAAACTGCTACAAATTTTAAGGTTTAATATCTCACAATACTAGACAAATGGATATGGTGTCTATTGATTTCAGAAAGTATACCATCAAATAAGATGAAACAAAGAAGTTTTGGGTCTTTTTTTAACTATTACTGATTCTATCAAGTAAAAGAATTACATCTTCTAAAAGCTATAAATAAAAACAAAAGCACTGCAGTTCCTCCTAAGTGCTTGATGAAACAATAAGTCCATGTGGAGACATTCTTACTAAACACTCTCAAATATTGCAATTAAAATGACACATTACTGGATTATTCAAGGGAAAATTATTCCTAGAGTTCCAGTGATATGGGAAAGTATTTGGATCCCACAAGTTACTCCATAAATACTTGTTAAATATGTAAAGTACGTTATTCTCATTTTCCTTTCAGAGAAATTGAGCCACAACTAAGTGGACTAATTTGCCTAATGCTGTCATTTACTTAACAGTAGAGGCAGAAATATGACCCAGACTGTAACCTATCAGCCTTTATGTAAGAGGTCAAATGGAAGCAAAAAAACTGCTCAGCTGCTATGCTTATGTTCATGAAAGGGTTTCCGTCAAATCAACCTGAAAAGTTGAAACAGAATTTAAAAAGTAATATATATGAACATATAAGCCTGGATTTATAAAAAAATTAGTACCTCAGAATTACTCTGTGTAGGAACTATGTAACATATATGACTACATAGATGCAGATTTAATCTGCTGAATTAACTTTAATCTGCGAAAGATATTAATTAGCCATGATTCATTTAAAGCAGAGAGAAAAATATTTTCAAGACATGCTTTAATTTATGGTACATGGAGCAATGGTTATGATAATCAGAGAGCAGAAAGAAATGTATATCACTAAACTCAAATTCGTTCTCATTTTTCATGAATGGTTGAGCTGTCTGGATATTTTAAATGTCTCACTTACTGTTGAGTAGCAAAATTAAAGCTAAGAAAGTCATGTAAAGTTTTAATATTCTTTTCATGGCATGCATGATTTATCTTGTCGCAAATTGAGAAGAACATTATTTCAAAGAGACGGACGATAATTGTACTTCCTATGGGCTTTTCATGTACTTTTAAGATAAAACAAAAAAGCATATTTGAATGCTTCCCTGTTATCAGTTGAAAGAGCTTGGGCAAGGACATGAGAGCAAATTTCTTCAAAAATATTAATAATTTGGATGCAGAGTACCTCAGAAGCTAAAAGCTAACGATGGACTGGTTTCGTGGGAAGGGAGAGTGCCACAGGCCTAGTGATGAAACTGAGCCCAACTTATGCTCTGTGGGGGTGTCCTTTGGTGTTTGGGGAAATGAAATCATGTCTAATATCCAAAAATACCTAGTTAGAAAACTCAAAAGTGACAGAAAAGTTAATTATTTGGAGAAAAATACATACATTTATACAATTTGCATAGCTTTGAATATTGAACTACAGAATTTTTCTATTGCTTCATGATTGGCTGGGATTTAAATACAGTTTGTGTATTTTCTAAAGTGCATTGTATTGCACAGCAGAGTAATTCTCAAGCATGAGGCATTTAGCTATTTCCATTCATTTTGGAATTTTTATCAATTCCTGTCCATTAAGCTTATATCTGAACATATGAAACCTTGATACGGAAAAAAAAAGGTAAATCATTAAAGCTGTAGGGAGCTGCTTTAAATTCAACAGCACTTTGGTGAACAATTTAGAATGGCATCATTTAGTTTTCTCCAACAACAGCAACAACAAATCAACGAAAGACCATCGGGATATTTAGACTGGCCATTGCATTTTAAAGAAAAGTTTGGTTGTAAGTGAAATGCATGACATTCACATAAACTTAGAGCATGAAAATTTGGACCTGAGGAGTAGCTATGAACCTCTTGTCTCGAACCATCTTTGAGAAGATAAATAAACTGAGATTAAAAGTGTTTTAATAACGGGCAAAATACTACTGCTCATAACATCAAGTGATTTTTTAAAAATGATGTTTAATATTTGTGGGGTTTTTTTTGTGATCTTTCCTTTGTTAATCAGAAAATGCATTGAAAAATGTCAAGAGGAGATGATGGTAGCTGAAATAATAGATAAACTTCTATATAATTTTGTGGTAAACTTGGAAAAGAACCTTTCTGAAATGTTTTAGATATTCTCCTATTTACATAATACATATTTTACATCTCAAAGTTTCTCCAAATTTATCTGAGTTTCAAGATACTTTCTATCAATTCAAGATTATATGTTTTCTGAGTTTATCTTTAGTGTTCCATTTAAAAACAGAGATATTTACAAAGAAAAGTAAGCAAATGTGAATCTGAAGCTGCATCTGTACTGTTTGAAAGAAGAGCTTTTCAACAGATACTGTTTCAAGTTAAAAATAGATAAATGAGATTATGGTTTGATCTGATTTGTTCTGACATGTCCACAGGCAGAATGCTTTTCAAGTCATTGCTGTGGATGGGGTCTGCAGTGGGATTATTCAGTGCCTCTCTGCTGAAGACTGTATTGACTGGCTACAAGCAATAGCAACTAATATTTCAAACCTCACAAAGCACAACGTAAGTAGTGATTCAAGGAGTCCCTGGCCGTAGAGTTTCTCAGCCTTGGGAAATTTCTTCAATATTTATATGTAACCTTGCATCAACTGCTTGGTGTTTTTTTAAGAACATCAATCATGAAATCTATTCTAGAATACTTACTGAAAGAAAATCACTTTGTCCTGAGAGTTTCAGCCTAATTTATCAGTTCAAGAATACTTTCAAATGTAGGATTCCACTCACAAACATCCTAAACATCTACATTAATTACATAAGTGAAAATATATATTTAACATGTAATTACTAAACATATATAAACATACATATATACATGCATATGTAATTATATATGTGTATATATATACACAAACATATATATGTAAATATCTATGTATGTATAAAGATATACGCATTCATAAAAACATTCTGCACTGAAACAGTACTGAATTTCAAGAGAGTATTATAGATTTTCCTTTAGTGATTTTAGAATTGCAGCTAGGCATGTCTGAAGGGGTAGAAGGGAAGGATGAAAAGATTTAGCACAGAGACTGAAGGCCTTACCTGGGACTACACTGGCACAGGAACAGTCAGAAGACATCATTCTGGGATGTGGTAACTTGACCATTAGAGCTATGTCTATATTACTAGTAATGGCTTCTCTACTTCTCTGTGTTTCTACTCAACCTTTTCTCCTTTCCCCCTCCTGTCTCTTTATTATCACTATGTTCTCATTGCCACGATTCTTTAATAACCTAATCAATCCTTTCTCCTTCTTGCTTCCAGGGAAGGTATAGTCTAACAAAATATGCAAAACCTTAAACCTAGTTTCGTGGAGTTTTGATATAGATCATTAAAGAATATTTGATCTTAACTAAAGATTATTCTGGTTAAGAAAATGCTAGATAAAATCCATGCTTTTGTCTTAATACTCTCCTCTGTCTGCAACTGTCCTATGCTATGTTGGAGTATTTAAGAAGTCCTAAGGAAAATTCAGAGGTCTAATATACAAAAGGTCAAGCAGAAATGTATAACTCTTTCACTGACTCATAAACATACAAAACTCTCCTCACATAAATAACCCTTTGGACCCAAGTATCTTTGCACAAATTTTGTGTTGAAATCTAAGAAAGAATGTGACAAATATTTTTCTCTTAAAAATAGGTGGGCTCTCAGCCATTAAAGACAACAATATTGTCATACATGGCAATGCAAGAATCTCCTTGGTGGATGTTGAAGGGATTATCTGGGAGTGGCATCGATAGGCATGGGATATGTATATATTCATCTTTTCCTAGTAATGCCAAATGTTTTCCAAATTGCTGTGTAATTTACCCCCTTACTCTTAGTGCCTGACAGGTCTCTGTGTACAGATCACCTCAACACTTGGTATCATCCTGTCTTTTAATTTTTGATTATATGGTATGTGTGAAATTGTGCCTTGCTGTAGTGTTAATAAAGGCAGGTGGGTTTTTCTCACGGTTCCTGAATAGGTGCAACTACACCAAGCCTTACCCAGGGACATCACTCAAGGAGGCCTGGCCAGGGCATGTCTGGCTTGGGCAAGAATGACTCCCCCAACACTCAATCTTTGCGAATCTTGTGGTATCATCATATTGGAATTGCAGTAGATGACAAGAGATTTCAGACTGACAACAGAAATGCAGTTCTTGTCTGAGGATCATGCGTCTCCTCCTCATCCTTTCCATCCCTTATAGGGATGTACTAGGGTTAAAGAAAAGAGAAAAATACCTTGTGAAGTATTGACTCTCTATTTCATTACATGCAATAATTAGAGTGCCTCAAAATGAGCCCAGATTAGGTATTTATATGACAAAATTTTTTTTAAATGAACAGCATGTTAAATTTTAAATCCAATGTTTTACTCTTTACATAGATCCAAATTGACATTGACCTGAAATCCTGATAATACTCTTGTGAAAATTGTTTCTTTGGAATGTATGTTCAGTTAGAATGCTGTGGTGCAGAAAGCAAGCATATGAAAAGTCAATGTTTTATTAAAAAAAGAGTGAAGATGTGAAGGTCTCTATCCTCTGTAGGCACAAAGAAGGCCAAGCCAAATTTTACTGCTTGTTCTTCATCCTTGCTATAAGTGCTCACGAGGAATCTTAGGAAAGCAGACAATCTTTCTGTCCTACGTTGTTTTAGCTGCTTGGACATACACACATCTGGCATGATAATGGTACTGTATGAAAGGTCACCTAGTTGTTCTTCCACTTTGCTGTGTTTATGTTCTAATCACGTAACATTTGATCTTGAAATCACTTCTCACTCAAAAGTACTAATGATTACAGCATACCCTCATATAGATATAGTGCTACATGCATGTGGAAAACTTATTAGGCATAGTAACAATATGTGAGGTTAGTTAATAATATGTGAAAGTTACATTGACTTCAGTAAAGGTACAATGCATTGATGATACAGTTGATATGGTTGATTAGTATGAAGAAAGAAATTAGGCAGATCCAGAGTAGCTAGAAAACTTCTGTTTATCATGGTCAGATATATATTCTAGTTCTCTTAATATATCTTGATTCTAAAAATACATGAGAAATAATACCTTGTAAAATGATGTATAACTTTTTCTATATTTGCAAATATTCTAAGGGCATCTAGGCTTATATAAATCTGACTTTGAATAGTTTACCTGCTATTAGTAGGTGCAAAAAGAAAAATACTGACATAAATATCTAAGAAAATTCCACTCCAGAGATTAACATACATAAAAATAAATTTGAAAAAGAGGCCAACTAGAAAACACATATAAAATAACTTAAGTAAAGAAAAAATCATGTAATTTAAATGATGCACATGTAATGATTAGAAGGAAAAGAAAAAATATTAAAATCGTAACGTTATAGAAATTTTTTTATAATGAATCATGTTTTAGTGTATAGACCAATTGGAGAGTAGATAGAAAAGGTTAAAAGAAAGCAAGAAAAAAGAAAAAATCCCAGTGCTAGAATCAGTGGAACAATGCACTAACCATTTTCTATTCTCTTTGCTCATTAATTCCAGCAGTAATAATTCCAAGAAACAGAGAGATTTTATACCTGTTTCATGTGGAAGTTGCATGTAATTATAGTTGTTATCTGAAAATTTTCTTTTTGCACAAGGTCGTTGAATGTAATGGTTAAAAATATTCAAACACTTATTATTTTAATGTTATTTTGTAATTATTCAGGGTGGCTTCAAAATATTTACAATGCATTTAATAAATGGTATATACTAGAAGAGGATGCTTTAGGGACTTGTCTAAAATCTGTGCTTGCTCAGAAGCCCATTCATTTTACTTCAATTATATGCTTGCACATTGGAAAGGGAGAAATGACAGAGGCTATGGTTTAGTGGGGTAAATTCCAGCTAAAGCCTAAACAAGTTCCCATTGGGTATTTGCTGTTATTTTAGGTAAAATAGTCTTGAATAGATTTATAAGGGTAAAATTCATGAATTGTAAAACAGTATTTGCTTCATGTTAAAACTTTTTATATTTTTTCTACCTTTCATTATTTCATCAGATATATGATCAAATATCTGTAGAAAGTTATTAATTTTTATTTCTATGATCAACTCATATTAAATAACTGAAGATCTTAAAATATGCTCATGCTGTAATGAGAGGAATCTTTTGGGAACCTTGGGAGGGGGTAAGTGTACTTGCCATGTAGAAGAAATATGAATTATTGGGGGCCAGTAGGCAGACTTTGATAAGCTAGGATGGCTCCCAATTATCTTCACTTCCTGGTGTTTATACACTTATGCAATCCTCTCCTCTTAATTGTGAGCTGGACAGTGAGCTTAGAAGTAGATGTTTCCCTGTCAAAATTTCAGATGAGACTGCAGTTTCAACTGACTCTTGATTATCACCTTGTGAAAAACTCAAAGAGAGAGAGGACCCAGCTAATCCATACCTGGATTCCTGACCTATAGAAAATATGAGATAGTAAGTGTTTTGTAAAGTCCCTAAATGTTGGAGTTGTGTTATATAGTAATAGGGAAAAATCTTGGTAGCTTAAGACAACATAAATTTCTTCTCTCACAGTTCTGGAAACCAGAAGTCCAAAATCAAGCTCTCATCAGGGCTGTGTTCCCTCTGGAGGCTCTGGGGGAGAGTCCTTCCTTTTCTCTTCCAGTTTCTGGTGGCTGTCAGCATTTCTTGGTTTCCGTGGCTCATGGCCACATCACTACAGTCTCTGCCCTTATGTTCACATCACCTCTTTTTCTGGGTACCTACTCTCCTTTTTGTGTCTCTTATGAGGACACTTGTCATTAGATTCAGGGCCTGCTCAGATAATACAGGATGATCTCATCCCAAGATCTTTAACTTAATTAGACGTGCAAAGATTTTTTTCCAAATAAGAAAACATTTGCAAGTTCCAGGGATTTGACACAAATATCTTTTTTTTTGTGGTGGGGGAAAGTCCTTTTTTGGCTCACCATAAGAACCAATACAGCAGATAAACAGCATACTTAGATTCAGACCTTAAGTTCTGTCTTAACTTCCTTGGCAGTATTTTTAATATCAGTTGCGTTTTCAAAGTATTTATTCTGCACTGCTTGGGTGTAAGCCCAGAACTTCTCTCAGTTCACACACGGAAGTGGGCATCTTCTCCCACTTGCTCCTCTGTGGGTTTTCCTTACACTCTCTGGCTCCCAGGCAGCTACTGTCCTTAATATTTCCAGAAAGTTAGAGTGCCTCTCCGAGTTTAGCTTCCTGCATTTTTGTACATTTCTCATGTTTGGGCTCTCCTTCATGGCAAAGTAGCACAGAAAAAAAGAGAGCAAACATAATGAGGATCCCTCCTATAATGAGGATCCAATTTCCTATTCCCTTTATTTTGAAGGGTGCATTATCTCTTGGGGATTCTAGGTGCTCACATTGCCACTGCCTCCACTGCAGAAGCTCCTTGACAGACTGGCCCTGAAGCAGAGTCAGGAACAAAACAGGGAAAATGTCACAGGTGTTCTTTCCAATCCCACGACTCTCAGGGGTTCCCTTC